TCAAAAATCATAAATATTATTTTTGTAAGTCTAAACCTCATCCGTAGGAGCGCCACGGTGGCGAAATGTTAACTCCCTCGCCTGGTATACAGGGGTTCGTAGGGTCGATCCCGACCCTGACGCCTGCTGCATATTTGGAGTCTGCATGTCTCTCTCTCTCCATGGGCGCGTGGATTTTTCTCCGAATCCTCCGGTTTTCCCCTTCACATTTAGAGTCGGCATGCATTCCTCGTGACAAGCCACTTCGTTGAGCTATAATGTGTGGCCAGCTCGCTTCTGCAAAAAGAGCCACATAGCTCAGTGAGGCTTACCTGGTAAAATTAAATACCCAAAAAATGGTTTAGATAGTTCAAAGTTTAGCATACATGCGTGTGCACGATTTTGCTTCCTTATTCGTCGGTGTCTTTGGGGGGAAGAGGAGGAGGGTGAGGGTGGCTGGAAGGGGAGAGGGTGGTGGTGGGGAGGAGGAGGAGGAGGGGGAGGAGCAGGGATGATCGACTCACCTTTGGTGTCCATCAGTTAAAGTGACAGCGTCCGGCACACAGAACGCTCACTCACTCACTCCCAGGTGATCACCGCTCCTCCTCCTCCTTCCCCTCCTCCCAGCTGAAACACAACCGCGCCTTTGTCAAACTGGCCACTGCGGCCACGCAGGGGTTTTACATCCGAGAGACGTCAACAGCCGTGAGCAATGCCGTTCGCACAAGAGCAAACACGATTTGTCTTGTGTCGGTTGAAGCTTTGGGTGTCGCACATAGAGCACAGGCAGGGCAGGATTCGATTTGATGGGGGGGGGGGGGGGGGGGGGGGGGGGATAGGGGCTTATCGTTGGGCGCCACAATGGCGCGATCTTAACTACCTCACCTGGTATGAAGGAGGCCGTGGGTTCGATCCAGACCCTGACACCTGTTGTATATTTGAAGTGTGCGTGGATTTTTTTCGTGGTCCACCGGTTTTTACCTCCACATTTATAATCAACGTCACGCGTTTAGAGTCATTAAAGCTGCTACACATTTCCACCTGATGAGTCACTTCGTTGAGCTATCATTTGTGGCCAGAGTCACTTCTGAAGAATAGTTATCTAGCTCAGTGGGCTTTAGCTGGTAAAATTAAAATAGTTTAATCGTTCAATGTGCTTTCAGTTGCTCAGGAATTCAAGCGCCCTATAAATGCAGAAGATTATTTTATTATTAATCGAATCATCTATATCCTTATATGTGGGACGTTCCATCTGAAGGATGTGTTTCTCCAGGTAAAACTAATAAAAATACCAAACTTCAGTCTTAGCTTGTATTTTGTTTTTTATATTAACGTGGTCTACTATCTGTGAAGCCAAAACTGCTGATTCAGTCCGTGAAGAAGATCCTAGAACGTGGAGCGGAACATCGGACACTGTGTGCCGAACAGCGCGCGGTACAAACTCAAAACGAATCAGAGAGTTGAGTTGCCGAGCAAACTACATTTACATCAATTTACATGCATTAGGAGCATATTTAATAAACGGGTTTCAGGGAGGCAGGTAACCCACTCTCGCTGTCAGTTCCAAGAACCCATGACATCAGCTACTGCAGGTTAATGCACGCAGGTTCACGGGACCTTGTAGAATCCGTGATTTAACCTAAGCAACGGGAAGACCCATTCTAATCTCGAATGCTTTTAGTAAAGACAGGTCTGTGATAAATGAATGCCTTAGCTACGTGTAGTAAATTCATATATATAAAACAAAAAAAATCTAACTGTTTATGAATTCATTGCCGGATTAAAGCCGCCCGATGCTGTCTGTATTATTCAGAGGGGTTGGTTGACCATACTTTACCACGTAGGTCAATATGTAGGTGGTGCCCGAGACGTGTCAGCTGTCACTCGCCAATGATGTTCACCGTGGTTGGGACTCAAACTGAGGTTTACAGGTCCAGCAGAAAGGAGCCGTGCAGCAAAGTGCATTGTAAAAGTCGGAGAGTCCGGGAATTGGACAGGTGGCACGCCCGAACACACCCATCGCGAGACGCAGCGTCAATTTAATTTAAAGTCGCCAGGCTGGGGGTGTGAGGGCGGGTCTCCAAAGTACGGTGTAGCAACACCCGGCCTTACGTCGGGGGAACGCGTTCCTGAAAAGTGCGACGACGTATATCGAGACGACGTAAAATCGAAGCGAGCTACCAGAGTGGGCGTGGGTGGAGAAGGCGAAGAAGGGCCGAGAGGCGACGGATAACGAGAAAGGACGGCCGACGCTGTGAGCGACGTAAGTGTGGGGATCGAGGCCACTCAAATCGGGCAGCGGAGTTAATAAAGCGACGACGTGTTTGCGAAACGACGTAAAAAAGGTGGGGGGGGGGGGGGGGGGGAGGCGTAAACCGTGGTTATTACTCTACAAACGTCCTCTTATATCCGTGCTGTTTGAGATGTGGGAAGGGGTTGCGGGTTTAGCGGACAACTGTGACGGCACTTTCATTTCGGAAAAATTATCCTCCGGCGTGCGGCCGTGTCGCGATGGCTTTGCCCGCATCGTGGATCACGACGGATGCGATTACAGGGGCAGACCGACGGACGGATGGACGGACAAGGCACATTAGGATGGATGGGCGCATGAGCCAGGAGGTTACCAGTGTAGAAGACCAGTGGAGTGAATCCCGCGTGGCGCATTTTGCCAGAGCGATGCAACGCTCTCCCAACAACGGGGGTTCGGCTCGGGTCGTCACAGCGTGGAACATTTTGCTGTTATCGGCATCACCATCATCATCGATTATTATTATTCATAATAAAGGGTTTTTTTTTTTGTTGGGTTAGTTCACGTGAGTATAAATGTGTCGTTAGCCCGCCGCCACCCGGCACAGCCAACTTTATTAAGGTTAGTTACTGCTTCAGACCACCGGTGTTGTTGGAAAGTAAATCCACGACATTTACAATTCGAGTACGACGTTTCGCTGGTAATTACATCAAGCAATTATCGGGCGATTTTGCCAGAATTATTATGTTTTGTATGTTGGGTACCCCCCCCCCGCCCCCATTCCCACCTCGCCCACTCTGCCGCAAGTTTAATTACTGACAAGGTTTCACTCGCTCTGTGCGGTAGAAGTAGTACTTGTAGTAGATGCGTTCTAAAAAAAGGGCGCACAATGCGAAACCGCGCGAGGAGACAGCTGCCTACCTAGCACACGGTACACACACAGTACACACAATGTTGTGTCTATGTGTATCTCTGTATGTGTCTGTGTGTATCTCTGTATATATCTGTGTGTGTAGGTGGAGAGTTCGTGTAGCGGTTATCGCGCTGCGCTACTAACCCAGTGACCCCAGTTCGATTCCCGTTCACGATCAATACCGGTCATGATTATCTGAACCGGTTTCTGGGCATTCCCTCGGTCGACTCGGCCTCAAATGAGTAACTTGTTGCGGTGTGTAAACATCGCCACTAGGGAGACAAAGGTGGCCGGGCGTGGTGCTGGCCACTTGCCCCCACAGTCTGTTGAGGCTACACGGGTGATCTATATGGGGGATGTTTTGCCACAAGTATGCAGACTTGATGCCTTGCAAGAGGTGTCTTATTTGGTGTTTTAAACATCTTAACAGCCCCTGTGTTAAGATGGGGCAAAACCTATTCTTATTGTTGGTGTCAATGTATTTTGCACGTCATTAGATATTTCAGAGTTCTCCTGCCCCGTTCAATGAATGGAACGGGAACCCAAATCTGTGACCTTTATTGGCGTGCCCACTCAACACTTCAGCAGCTCAACACAGACCAGAGGACGCCAAAAGGCGCCTTTTTGTTAGACCAGAGGACGCCAAAAGGCGCCTTTTGTTAGGCCTAACACCGTTTGAGACGAGGCTCAAAAGAAAGCTGTCTCTGGTGTGGACCAATCAGTTTCAAGGACAATGCCACATATATGATCAGAGTGTGTTTTTGTTTGCATTCTCACCACAAGTATTGTGGTTAATGCAGACATGATTCCTTGTAAAAGGTTTCAGTTTGGTGTTTTAACATCTTAACGCCTAAAAATACAAAACAATAAAATTCTCACGACGTTTCGACTGCAACACAAGCAATCATCATCATCAGGTGTGAAAATCACAACATGAAAATTTGAAAAAAGTGGCGTTTTTTTAAATTTTGTTTCCCTTCGACGTGACTTTACCGAAAGAACCAAGAATATCTTAACACCTATTCTTGGTTCTTTCGGTAAGTCACGTAGAAGGGAAACAATACAATATAAAACAATAAAATTCTCACGACGTTTCGACAGCAACACAAGTAATCATCAGATCATCAGGTGATGATTTTTTGTGTTGCAGTCAAGAATGTTGTTTTATATTTTTATTATTTTATTTGCCTTCTACGTGACTTTACCGAAAGAACCAATAATATAATCCCTGCAGTCACGAAAGCTTTAAATCAAAATCTTAACACCTGTTTTGTTGCCAGAAAAAAAGGGAAAACCTTATTATCATATTTTGGTACTGGCAAAGGAGGTCCCATGATGTAATTTTCGCAACTGCCTCGGGAAGGGCTAGAAACAAGAGTTCTGAGGGAAACCCCTATTTTAAATGCAAGCTCACTATGTTAAGTCGTGCTGATGGTTAATGTATTTAAAAAAAAATCTGTGGAGACTTGACGCTGCTATTGAGTATCAACACATCGGTAAACACAAAGCAACAGATTGCACAATTAATTCCCCTTTTTTTATTGCTCGTGCAATTAACACGCAACAACAACAAAAAAAACCATCAGGCGTTTATTGTTTCAGATGGTTTATTGTTTTGTTTACGCGTGTGGATTTGTTTAATCTCCCGCGTAAACGCCCAGGCTTCGTGACGTTGGCGCTAGGCCGCAAAGAAGCCGGGGCCAGTGACGCGGGGGGAGGGGCTGAGGGGGGAGGGGCCGGGGTAGGGGAGGGGCGAGTGGAGAAAGAGAGAGAGAGGGGGGGTGGTGGTGGAAAAATTGCAACAATTGACGCTTTCTATTGGTCGGCCGCGAGCACGTGGCGCCTGGGCAGCCAATCGCGTGCGTGGGGAGGCGGGGCTATAGTGTAATTCGTAAACTGAGCTCGTTACAAAGGGAGGTCGCGACGGCCCGTATGTAAACACGGCGCCACCACGTCTGTGTGTGTGCGCGCGCGCGTTCTTATTCATTGTAATGCTTAACATTCGTTTGCTCGTAGTTTAACATGTCACCTTTTTACGTGTACGTTGTTTCTAACGCGCGGGGACGTTGGGTTTGTGTTAGCCCGCGGCGCGTGTTAACGGCAATGCTTGCAGACACTGTACTGTGATCGCACTGTACTCTGTGTGTTGTTTTACACGCATGTGTGTACTGTATATGTATGTGTGCGCGTGTATACACATGCGCGCTTGTACGCGTTTAGCAAATGGTAAATAGTGATTTGTTTGATAAACGCTCGATGTATGATAAGTTAGGTGAGAGCCGATTACGCTAGCTGCGTGATGTACCGTATTCAGATATACCGTTGTGCTGGACTTTAAAGTGCAGCGTGAAGCTGCGAGGTTGATAGTTGATCCAACACTTATTGTTTCACTCCTGTCACACACACACACTGACTGCTGTCAGTCGCCTCCTCTTTATGCCCCTACTGCCGTCCTTACTCTGCGCGTGCACTTCAATTGGTGACTTCACTGTTGGCGCGGGTTCTGCCCTGGCTGTTTCGTTTCGACTTTGAGATTCCCCCCCCCCATCGCCTCTGAAACAATATCTTGTAATCCCTGTGCAATTCTAGACACGTATTTTGCTATTTTACTATTACAACTTTGGTGGTGCGGTCTGTTGAGTGCCGCTTGGCGTTTGCGCGTTTAGTTCTGTGCTGCTTAACGGATGACGGAAGAGAAATCCACACGGAAATGCAGGTCTTGAGCTTGGTCAGTCTTTAGTGGGTCCATAAAGCAGTTTAGTTTTCTGTCCTTCCCTCGCACCTCTGATTAGCACGTACGGTGCGAAAGAAGTTCAACATAAGAGGGTTTTGCAGGTGTTTCAGAATGTTCCCCCCTCTCATATGCGTGGAGTTTCTCCGGGGTTTTCCCCGGTTTCTTCACAGTTGCCAAACGTGCATGTTTAGTATTATGGCAATAATCCACTCTGTAATTGACGAGAAAAAGTAATCCATCAAAACCTTGCCAATACAAAACAGGAACCGATGGATTAGATAACAACGCAGGTTAGAGACATCTTTTGGGCAAAACACATTGCTAAAAGCGGTGATGGCGGGCAGTTTGGGACTAACTATGCATAGAGTGGCAGTCCAAGCAGGGATATGTGCACAAGAGGCCATTCATCGCAGAGCAATGTGATCAGCTCGTGTGTAGGTGCGAGATTGTGAGCGATGACAAATCGGGCTTGGTGAGGCCTTCATCTAGCAGTGGAATTGTCATGGCTGGTGTCGATGATGACCATTGTCGAACCATTTCTGATAAATGCTGTTGAGACTCATTGAGGATACCCTATATAAATAAAGGATAGTAAAGTATAACAGTTGCTATTAACTGTGAACTCTCCGTAATCTGGTTCATTCGTTTCTACTGACCAGTCACCTTTGTGGTAATCATGCATATGAAAACATAATAATTTAGAGTATACACGAAATACCCAGCGTTTGAAATGCGTAACCCAAAGTGATTGATGGAGTGGTATTCAGAATTCATTAATACTTAGGGGCTAAATGAGCAATACTGTGTATAGGTGCACAAATATATGCTTAACAAAAAGCTATATTGGACCCCATTACCATATATCATCATTAATTTAGGCTGTGGCAGCTCCGTGGCCTTGTGGTCAAGACGGTCGGATTCGTGGGACCGGCGGTTCCATTCCCGTCACGGTCACTCGCAATCAGTTTCAAAGACAACGCATACATGATAAAATTATCAGAGCATGTTTGTTTGCACGTTTTGCCACAAGTACGTGTGGTTAATGTAGACTTGTATTCCTTGCAAAAGGTATATGCTGGGCGTTTGAACATCTTAACACCTGTTTTAGTGCCAGAAAGGGTAAAACCTATTTTTTGTTTTTCACGCTTTGATTCTGGCAAAAAAGGTCCCATAGATATAACTCCTCAACCCCGAGCTGTGAATGTTGCATTGTCTTTGTACTGTTCGCCTTTTGGCGCTTTTTGGTCTGACATTGGTGAGACAAGGCCATAAAGGCGAAAGCTGTCTCTGGTGTAGGCCAATCAGTTTCAAAGACAGTGCCATATATTATCAGAGCATGTTTGTTCGCTTGTTTTACCACAAGTATGTGTGAATAAAGCAGATTTTATTCCTTGCAAAAAGGTATGTATTTAGTTTTTGAACATCTTAACACCTGTTTTTTTTGCCAGAAAGGGTAAAACCAATTCTTATTTTTAATACTTCCTGCAGGAAATTACCAAATCGCGCAGGCACGTGCTGTAAAATAGACGTTCAAGATATTTTGAAAATGTAATTTTATTTATTACTCGCAAGACGTTGCGGGTCTCGTGGGCACTGAGTGACTGACCCTCAACAAGCGAGGAGGAGCGGCTAAAAAAATCAAACCAGTCTCACGTAAAGATAAATTATCGCTAGCATCGTTGTGGGGAATATAAATAACGCAATAATTAAGCAGAAAATGTGTCGCTTTCACACATCCGAAAATATTGCACAACCCATCAGCCGCACAGCCTACAGTGAATGCATATCAGCACCATCGTTTCAAGACAAGCTAAATTGTGAAAATATTTATTGATGTACGTACGGTTAAATCCACAACCCTGGTAATCTGCCAACGGATACTTTTGAAGCGTAGGCCGTTTTGCTTATGCCAGATGAGAACATGTTTATCTCTCTTTTTGATTTAAAGCTTTCGTGACTGCAGTAATTCATATTCTTAGCTCTTTCGGTAAAGTCACGTTGAAGGGAAACAATAAAATATATATAAAACGATAAAAAAAATTCTCACGACGTTTCGACCATAACACAAACGGTCGTCATCAGGTGTGTCGGGTCGCATTAAATTAATTATTTTTAAACGGTGTATAATGCAAACCGACACACCTGATGACGACCGTTTGTGTTATGGTCGAAACGTGATAATTTTTTATTGTTTTATATATATTTTATTATTTTATTGTTTCCCTTCAACGTGACTTTACCGAAAGAGCTAAGAATATGTCTATCTCTCCTTCCAATGTTACCCGAATCTCTCAGGTGCTGGCTGCTATCTTGTTGTAGATCTGCTCAGCAAATGCAATTAAAGCAAATTGTTTGCTGCATTTAAGTAGGTCTATATTTATGACCAAACACCTAATATATAGTGTATATCACTGCTTATGACCAAATTGGCCAGTATGTATTATCATGTTTGTTTGCCCGAAGATAGCCTCACTAAGTATCTTGACTTTTTTTCAAGTTTGTACATTCGGGCCAATGATGGCTGCGTGTAAATCCCAATTGAGTAATCGAGGTTTAATTTTACAAATGTGACCGTGACACCAGCACACAATGGCCGATTCTTGCGAATGATGTAATGAGATCATTAACGTATATTTGGAGCAGGCTGCGTGCATTTTATACACATTAAATACACCCACGGTAATAACCAGGACGGCCACCAGGTTAGAACAACGCACCTTTGTGACAAGCGGTGAACGCGCTACCGCTGGGCCACGTCATCACCCAATGTGGCTGATGTCATCCGATCTTGAAAGTTAATTGGGATTTGAGCCCGGATAGTGATTGAATGAGTGACCATCATGCATACATCTTGCTGATCTCGTTAAGGGGCATAGACCATAACGCAATCTCCGGTCATCCTCGCAATGGCTTTTGGCTGGTCATCGAACAAAGACGGTTACCGCATCGTGCGCTTTCAGATGCGCTTCTGTGGCCATCTGGAACACCTTTCCTTCTGATTTTAGGAAGCTGCTGGAGCTATGCACTTTTAAATCTAGATTTTAAACAAATTAGAGCTACTTTTTGTGTTTAGTTTGTTGTCCTTGCCTGCACCTCCGATGCACACGGTTGGCTACGTACGGTCCAAAAGAAGTTCAACATACAGGTTGTCGGTTTTCGGGCTACATAGTGGACAGAATAGGGCAGTGCAGAAACATCTACCCGCCTTCACCAACCCGTGTTGACCTCCGCGATGAAGAATGGTCATATAACCCCCACGACCCGCACGGTATTGGGAAACCATAATTCATCAGTGGATTGCACTTGTATCTCCACACCATTGAGTGATTGGCAGTACCCAGCTCCATTGGTGGTCCTGAGCCAGGAGCATAAATTCCACATTGCTGTGACAAGCATCAGGCTTTTGTCATAGGATGCCCCACAAAGTGGTAATTATTTTATAAGCCCTGTTAGGACATTTGCTGAGTTGACCGTCCAACCAAGGGGGTATAATTTATTAGGTACGAATGACACTATTATATGTGTAGAGGAGTAGTGTGAGCAACCATGAGAGGGCGTACAGAGGGAGGTGCGATCGAGTTGACAGCGGAGGATGACGTCATGTCACGGGTGCTGTGAAGGGGGTACCTTCGGGAACAAAGGCGGGTCCGAGTTAGGGGGAGGTGCCGCCCAAGGGGTACTTAAGGGGGACCCCGTGACGAAGGCGTGGTCGTTGTGGGAGCCCGGGGCAAGGATCGGGTGCATGAGATCTCTCCCGCTTGTCGCCGGACGGTGTTGGCTGAACCCCCGTCCGGGGCAGATGATTGGGAGAGCCAAGGGGATAGCCGAGAGCGGGGCTGCCAAGTATTCAGTGAGGATCGGCTGAGAGAGCGTGATTCTCTCGTTGCCGGGCGATGTTGGATTAGCCCCCGCCCCGGCCCGAGTGAGAGAGCCCAAGGGATAGCCGAGGGTAGGACGACAGAGTTTGGGGGTCCAGTGTAAGGACCAAGGATAGAGAGCACCTACACCTGGTGTGAGCTTGAGTGCTGAACGTGATAGTGTGAATAGTAAACTCCGTCTCCGCGTGGTTCTACTACACAACATGTATTCAGTTAAAAATAAGGTTACATTTTTCAATTTACATATGCTGTATGTTATGGGGTACTCTGACCTCTACAGCCACTAGAGGCACTACCAGTCACAATTTTTTTTAAGAAGACTTTTAAATTAAATTGCGACCCTGAATTTGCGACAATTCGATCCACCCTTACCTATTCCCGTGACGGTCTCGATCACAGATTGTGTGATATGTCAGTGTTTATTATTTTATATTACTCAATAAAAAAATTACATTTCCTCATGGATTCAGAAACGAATTTGGGGCCTTAATTGCATTGCTCATAGCCGTTTGAGGCGCACTGATCACGATTGACTGCCGTTTTGATTTTAAGCAAAGATATCGCTGCAGAAGGATTTGACAAAGCCCTTGTTTAATGCAATTTAAGCACGTGCCTTGGATGCCCGTTATTTACCGAGTGGCCAGAAATGAAATATTAATAAGTAAGGCAATAAAAAAATGAAATTACGTTCAGTAGCATTTCAAATGAATAATACATCCTATGCGAGATTGCTTGACAGATCAATATTTTACAATAATGTTGTAATAGTGCGTAATTTGTAATCGCCAATGAAGCACAGATGCATGTTTCCTGCGCATGATTTGTCTTTGTGATGTCTGCTGTAGTAAATCGGACAAGTGCGGTGCCACTCAACAGATCCCACTCTCTCATGTCACTGTAATTTTTATTAATAGCGCGGGGATGCAAATTGCGCCATGATTAATTTCACTATTTCGTGTGTATCACTCGCTCGCTCGATCTCTCTCACTCTCACTCCGTGGCTCTGGTGGAAATGTTTTTTTTTCTTCCCAGTTTTGCGCGAGGATAGGAGGGTTGGGGAAAAAAAGACTCAATTGGGTAATCGTAAGTACAGCAAGTAGGGTGCCAACCTGTCTGTGCGAATTGTTTTTTAAAGGGTTATCTCTTCCTTTGTGAAAGGTATTTCACCCGGAATACTCCAGTTTATTCCTGACCGCATGGAGATGCTAATCACATTCATATATAGCCATAGACATTTTCTGAAGAAATTTTTTTTAAGTGGGGAAAAACCTGATGAGCTATGAAGCTCTTTTTTCACAGGGATCCAGCTCAAGCTGGGGTCAGCAATAGGGGAAAAAAAATTCAGAGGCAGTTACATAAGTAGAATTTTTACACATTCATACATAAACTCGGTAAATTCGACAGAATTATGCGAAGAAAAAAATTACAAGAATAGTAAAAAAAAATTATACAGAGGAATTGATGGTTGTCCAATCATAGTTGCAAGTCACAATAGCAAATATAACTGTGGTCGACATCGAACATGAGTTGAAGAGCATTTCTTCATGGTAAATTCACCAAATTGAGAGAGGATGCAAGGCTATAATACAGTAACAAAAATTGAGTTCCGCAACAGCAAATTAAATCTGGCAAAAAATCACTGACATACAAGCCAGCAAAGCCTTGCCATGTTAATTATAACTTGCCTAATATAAACCTACATGAAGACAAAGATCCCCACCATCGCATACACCTATTAGGGCCAGCTTTATCTACAAAGTTGTGGTGTTACCAGCACCACTCCTGGCCACCTTTGTCTCTCCAGTGTAGATGCTTACACACCGCATGCATTACTCGTTTAAAATGTTATTTCGACCTAGAAGAGACTGAAGACCAGTTTAGATAACACCGCTGCTCTTAGCCATGGCTAGGAATGGAACCCAGGTTGTGGGGGGGGAGGTTCGCAGTGCAATCCGCTAACCAATGCGCCGCCTCTCTCCACTATATATAAACCCACCCGCACACACACACACGCGCGCGCGCCTGTGTTATTCTACAGAGTTGTGCAATTGTATGCAAAACACAGCCCGGTATTGATGTTTTAGGTAAACCCAATATCGCGACATTCACTTTAGTGGTCAGGGATTTGCGGAACTATGAGCGCAGCAATACATCACAGTTCTAATTGCGCTTTGGCATGACAATATTTCTAATGCCGTGCCGGAGAGAGTAGACAATGAATGCACGGGTGTCGGAGGGCTTTATTAAGCCTCAAAGTAGGTTACGGCGCAGTGCGTCTGATGCACAGAAGTGGGGCTATTAGGGAATAAAAGGGCCCATCATAAACTGCTGAGCTCAGGCACATACATCACGAACGCAGGCGAGCACCCGTATCGCCCAGTCCATCATGCCGCGTTTCCACAGCCCGGCCCGGGAAACGAGCCTGGGGCCCGCTTCACAAACTCCCAACGAGTGGGGATAAGTGTTTTACACGACTGTCAAGTGACTTGGCGAACAGCAATAACGTTTTTTTTTTATTGGGTTAGATCGTGTAAATATAAATGTGTCGTTAAACCCGCTGCCATCCGACACAGACAATTAGTAAAGGTTTGTCACGTAAATAAAACATGGCAATTCGTTACTAGTTCATGCACACCGGTGTGTTGTAGAGTAAACCCACAACATTTAAAATTCGAGTAAAATGTTGAGTAAATGTTGTGGCAACCAAAATAGCAAGAAGAGCCATTTTTTTCCAAATTCGGTAAAAAGCTCGATCTTTCCAGAGCCGCAATGCATGTGAATACGAGACGGCGATGGTCCTTAATTAAACAACGTCACGATGAAGCAGTCCTTAAAGAGCCGCATGAGCCTCCGAAGCCACAGGTTGCCGAACCCCCTGTGCTATACAGTCCTAATCGATTAACATACCGTGCCCGTGTAGGAAACCACTTTGCGATTACAATTAATCGTTAGCCACAACAACCTTTCATTTGGGAAAAGGTGATTTCTTTGTATGCTACATTTTGGCGACATCATCCACCTTGTACCACTTGCCTGTGGATTGAAAACTAATTTCTTAGGAATTGCTTTTTCTGTTTAGTTTGTTGTCCTTCCCCCGTACCTCCGATTAGCACGGTTGGCTACGTACGACGTGAAAGAAGTTCAACATGCATGCATACAGTAATGTGAAATGAGCACTCTATCTTTCAAAAGGGACATTTCATCGCATGTCTTGTGGACGCAAAAACTCAACTTTTTATTTTAGCAGGCGAGGCCCACTGAGCTATATAATTATTTTTAAAAAGAAGTTCAACATACATACCACTTGGGTATTGAGTTGTAAACGGAAAAGCAAACATCTTTCTCATGACACAGCACGTCGAAGAAATATCGTGCAAATGCGTTTGATTCGGTAATGCTCTCTGAACACGTGTTTGACCTCAGGAGTATTTAATTATTAAACAATTAAGTAGTTGACGTGTGATGATGCAAGATGATGTACAATGTAATGCCGTCATTGGGAACTTGGGGGGGGTAGGTGCTGCTCTGCCATCAGGGCACAGACGCAGAGGCAAATTACATCTCAAAGTTTTGGCCAAACCTTTGATCAATTCCACCAGTTTTCTCTAAGGCTAAGCCTCGAATGGCAACGCAACTTCATACGCAACTTTTGTTCACATCGGTACCTCTCTGGAAGCGTTATCGCACAAGGTTACAGACCGGACAGGCGGACAGAACAAACTTATTCACGCTTTCAACTCTGCGCATGTTGTTTTGGCATGACGTCCGACAGTTCGTTCAACGATGTGGGAGCTACTTAAGGAACTCAACTTCTGCTCGAGAAGCAGCTCTCGGCATGTGGAGCACTATAGCAGCATAACGGGGGCCGCTATACAGCGGAACTACAAACACCCGTACGGTTGCTTTTAGCCTTAACTTGAAAGCATTGACGATTAATGGTAGTCGAACGATATTCAATCGGACGCCGATGCTTCTCCTGTGCTGCCCAGGGTAGCCACGATGCTGCCCACAAAGCGACGACGACGACAACAACAACAACAACAACCGCAACCGCAGCATCCGGAACCCAGGAACAAGCGAGCCTGTGGCACCGGTCACGACGACGATGATGGCAACTCCGCGGACGTTGTCGTTTCCCCGGAGGCGGCATCGGCAGCGTCGGCGCAAGAGGCGGCGCGTGACGCGGCGAGAACCGGGGGCGAACTCAGCCCTGAGCGCCTGGTGCCCACGGCCTTCGCCTGCAGCTTCCTGGAGGTGGAGGCGACGCTCAACGGCGTGCTCGGCCGCCTGAGCTTTGGCGATCCCGTGCGCTACGTGTACAACCCCACGGAGTACGCGGCCGAGACGCACCGCCGATTCGTGGCCGCGTACTGCCGCGGCCCCAAGGACGTCCTCTTCCTCGGCATGAACCCGGGGCCCTTCGGCATGTCGCAGACCGGGGTGCGTGAGTCGTGGCGGCGGGGGGGGGCGTGAGTCGTGGTGGCGGGGGGGTGCGTGAGTTATGGTGGCGGGGTGCGTGGGTTGTGGTGCGTGGGTTGTGGTGTGTGCGTGAGTTGTGGTGCGTGAGTTGTGGTGCGTGGGTTGTGGTGTGTGCGTGAGTTGTGGTGCGTGAGTTGTTGCGTGAGGGCCGTGGTGGTTGGTGGTGAAGCGGGTGTACGGTTGGTAGCGATACGTTCTGCGTACGTATATTTTTTAGGTCTTGGCGGGAGGGGGGGGGGTCTTTTTTTCCCTCCAGTATAATTTCGTGAGATGAATCACTCGGATCTCTTGCAGAGAAATGCGAGCCCTACAGTTAGGGAATGGCCCATGAAAGCGGATATCGCAGACCTACCACAGATCTATTCAAGAGTGACCTCTGGTACACACAGGGCACAGCCCTTTCCCACTCGCTTTGCCACGTGAGAATCATTCTTGTTGCGCGATACTCAATTTATTGGTTAGAGCGGTGACGCGGTGTTTCACTTGTCGTGCTACTCACATACCCCACCCATCCATCAAACCCATCCGCCCACCCGCCCGCCCGCCTGCCCCACAGGTGCCATTCGGCGAGGTGTCGGTGGTCCGCGATTGGCTGCGCATCACGGGCGAGGTGCGCCAGCCACCGCGCGTCCACCCCAAGCGGCCCGTCCTGGGCCTTGCGTGCCCCAAGAGCGAGGTGAGCGGCGCTCGCTTCTGGGGCTTCTTCCGCAGCCTCTGCGGCCCCCCAGACGCCTTCTTCCGCCGCTGCTACGTGCACAACTACTGCCCGCTCGCCTTCCTCGCAGAGAGCGGCAAGAATGTGACGCCCCCCGAGCTCCCCGCAGCCCAGCGGCGTGCCCTAGTGCGGGCCTGCGACGCCGCTCTCTGCCTCGCCGTGCGGGCGCTGGGCGTGCGCGTCGTGGTGGGCCTGGGCCGCTACGCGGAGCGACGTGCCCGTGACGCCCTCGAGGCCGGCGGGATGGGGCCCGCCGAAGTCCGCGTCGCCTTCCTCATGCACCCGTCGCCCGTCAACCCGCGAGCCAACCGCGGGTGGGACGCGGTGGCGCGCCGGACGATGCAGGAGATCGGTATCCTGGAGCTGCTCACGACGGAGGATGGGGAGATCAGCCAGTGCGCCGGGTAGTGGTTGTGTCTGCCGTAAGGTAAAGGTGTTGGGCCCCACGGTTGGCTTGCCCGTGCCGCTGCCCCGGTGAATGGAAGTTGTAGTCGTGCTCAATCCGCTGCTGGATAAAGGGCTCCCTAGTCAGAAATGTGCTACGGTGCACCTTTTGCTCATTCCACTGCAGGCCATCGGAGGGCTTCTCCTAGAGGGATTGTAGATTACTACGATCTGGATGGATTCTAAAGAATTCTAAAGAATCCCTCTAGATCGTAGTTGTACTCCTTCCACACTGGATTTGCGCGTGAGTGAGAGTAGGAGGACGGGAGGTGATGGGAGCAATGACATCCGTTTCATACGCATGTGCCTGGCAGATTGTTACATCGCAGAATTTTGAGAGGTGGCGGCAGCCTGGGGTTAGGCCTTCATCCAGCAGTGGATTTACTCTGGCTGATGGTGGTGATGATGATGAGTAGGAGGAAACTGTGTTTGACAGTTACCGTGGTGTGCGGCATGCTAATGCAAGCTAACAGAGATAGGGTGACTCTGAAAAAGATAAATTAAACGAATTTTTTTTTTTACCATGTAAGGCCCACTGAGCTATATAGCTCTTTTTCAGAAGCGACCTGGCCACAAATGATAGCTCAACAAGGTGGCTTATATTCTTGGTTCTTTCGGTAAAGTCACGTGGAAGGGAAACAATAAAATAAAAATATAAGGGAAACAATAAAATAATAAAAATATAATTATTATTATAAAATATAATTTTTATAATTTTATTGTTTCCCTTCTACGTGGTGACTTTACCGAAAGAACCAAGACTATGAATCCCTGCAGTCACGAAAGCTTTAAATCAAAAGGTGGCTTATGCGAAAATTTATCGCAGCGAAATACTTATCATCACACGTTTCTAAATATGGTGGGAAAAACTGGAGGACCGGGATAAAAATCCACGCGACCATGGGGAGAAGATGCAAACTCCAAATATACAGGCGTCAGGGTCGGGGATCAAACACACGACCTGTATACCAGGCGAGGTAGTTAACATCTCGAATAGAGAGGAATGACGTGGAGACATTGGCGACACATGAGATCTGGTGACGGTCGCCAGCAGTGGAGGAGTGCTGCTGCCACTAGTCTGTGGACCCAGCCGCCTCTATACAGAGGGCAGGATGGGAAGTAGTAGAGTGTCCCAAAGGGTGAAGTCAGACGTTTCGGGCAAGCGAGTTTGAAAGAACTGTTTGTGCCGGTGTTCGGTTGCATACCTGTCAACCCATACGGTTTACCTATATTCTTGTACAGGGTAATTGAGTTTTCAGGTTCATACGGCGTACAGCCGTTTCAATACGGGTGAAACCCCATAATTTTTGTCTATTTGTTTGTGTTTCTCCCTTGTGATGGAACTTTGTAGGATGAACGTTGAGATTTATAAGGGCACGGGGTGACCAATGAAGTCTGAATTGGCCTGTCATAAGATGAGAGGTATGCGGTTGCGTGTGTCGCGATGGCCTTGTTGGAAGTCGGATGCTCCTGTCTTGAACGGTTCAGGGTTTCACATCGCTTCTCTTAAAGGAAGTTGCGACCCCCCCTCCCCCCAAAAAAGGAAATGAAATGGCTCTTACAATAGAAAAAAAAAATCACAATTTGTTCACGTTTTCAAGTTTTTGTTTAACCAGGTGAACACTCAAGCAAGCAGGACCGTCTCATTCATTTGCACGAGTGACCTGGGCCACACCAGCGGCGTGCATTTTTTAACGCGGTGCTATTTTACCACGTGGGCCCACGGTCCTGATGTAATGTCATCGTTTATGAATTGTTTAGGCCTTTTTAAAAACAATGGTGCTGCCAACGCATTCCGGACACCGCCGACATACAGAGCAACGGCGCTCTTTCTAACATCACTCCAGGTAACTGACTTGGAATGAGATACCTTTTGAACTCTCCCAACGTATGTATTGATCATCTCCCAATGCTGTCATTTTATAATTTAGCAGCGAATTTTTTTTTTTTAATGTTCCGGGAAGACAGATTTCCCAGGACAGCCACTTCAACAAAATTACGACCCTGGACAAATCAGGACAGTTGGCAACGGCCGCATTAGCGTGCACCTGTGCATCAGCGCGTGCGTTTTTGTGCTTCCTCATGCGCACTTCTTTGTGTAGTCAATTCCCCCGACAAAACAAAGGCTCCCTTAATAGACTGGCATGCCAGCTTGTCCTTTTACCCGCAGAGGCAAACGTGCATTGCGTTGTGCATCTAATACTTTTTTTCCTTCTGAGCAGGGTATGATGTCATTAAGTGTGAATGTCAGTGCATAAGACATCGTGTTTTACACACCTGTCGGTGACTTGACTGAGGTGCGAGTCGGGTCGCATCTGGATCCGGTGGTGACCCAGGGCTTTGGCTGATAACCTCGCAGATTCTGTCTGGCACAGTGCACTCGCACAGGCAGTGGTTTTATATTCCACAAACCCTTGGGAATCAAGCCAGTCCGGTTTGTGGACTGAGCGAGTAGGCTCAGCCTAGGATTCCCACATAGTAGCCAAGCATTCAAACTTGATTTGAAGCTTGCGTGACTGCAGGAATTACTCTTTGGTTCTTTCGGTAAAGTCACGTAGAAAGAAACATAAATGAAATAATAGAGTACGACGTTTCGATTGCAACACAAGCAACCGTCATCAGAGACAAAACTGTGTTGTCTCTCTCTGCTTGTGTGTCTGTCTGTGTGGCTCCGTGTCTGCGTTTTGTCTCTCTCTCAAATGTAGTTCTACCTGATGACGGTTGCTTGTGTTGCAATCGAAACGTCGTATTCTATTATTTATTTTCTTTTTACGTGACTTTACCGAAAAAACCAAAGAGTTCGCCAAGCATTGTTTACATGAGCGCCGATGCAAGGACTTCAGTAGGTCCCCCCACTTCCTGTCCATTTCCCCCCGCCTCCCCTCCCCCCCCCTGTTTGGAGGCCGGTGCTTAGGCCCGCCAGTCCAGCTGCAGTTACACCACCTGCACACTCGATAGCTGTGCCACTTGTCCCCACCGCAGATGACGCGCCACATATATACTTTGTCCACTGGCGCATCCGAGCCGAGTCAGTGCAGGGCCCTCACGGTACATGGGCACCACGGTGGCAAAATGTTAACTACTTTGCCTGGTATACGGGCCCACTGAGCTATATAGCTCGTTTTTAGAAGCGACCTGGCCACAAATGATAGCTCAACGAAGTGACTTATCTTCACGTAGAAATTCATAGCAGCCAAATACTCTAAACTCATGTCGTTTCTAAATGTGGAGGGAAAAACCGGAGGATTTGTAGAAAAATCTACGCGACCACGGAGAGAGAGAGGGAGACGCAAACTCCAAACATACAGCAGGTGTCAAGGTCGGGATCGAACCCACGACCTCCTGCATACCAGGCGAGGTGGTTAACATCGCATCAACGCAGCGCCCACTCGGGCCACCCCTGTTAACTGCTCATAACGTCACGGGGTGAGAGGCGCCGCTTGAGTGTGGCGTCTCCTGTGTAAACTCCACCCACGGCTGTGTTTTTGTTTTTAAAAACAAGGTGGGGGGGGGAGGGGGGCAAATTACAGAAGCAATATATGTTTGCTTAAGGAAGCCAAAACGAACACAAATATAGGTTTTAAAAAAATCCCACGTTTCCTCCAAACCAGCCATGCAGGGCAAAGAGGGCGCAGGCATGTACCGATGCATGAGCTCGTTGAATAATATAAATTCTTAAAGCTCGGAATGCATGCATTATGGAGTTGTGTGTGAATAGATTCAGGTTATTTTTGCACATTACAGGCAAACTGTATGCTCAATGTTGCATTTATAACGGATAGTTAGAAACCAACCAATCGTGTGTGCAAGATGGATTTAGAAAAGCTTTTTCTACTATTAATCACACTCGAATTGTGCATCGAATTCTAGTGGAGATGAATGAGTATCAAATACCATTACGCCAAGCTACTGTCGACTATGAAAATACATTTCATTCGTAACAGCTGAATCACCGGGGCGGGAGTGAATCGCTATACGCTGGATAGGGAAAAGGAGGGACTGGGGAGACAGGTGGCAGGAGGCGATTACACAGAGCAGCACGGTCCGTGAAACACGGGGCCAGGGATCAGAGTTGTGCTGTTGATCCTGGGCCCTTCCCGGGCCATTTTTTTGGCGACCGAGCATGCTTGCAAATGGTTGTAGAAATATAGCGTTAGTACCATGGGGTCGGCAAACAAAGTAACAAGAAGAGACATTTTTTTCCCCCGAATTCGGTACAAAACACTTTCTCAAGAGCCACAATGCACGTGAATACATACAGACATACACACATATATACACACTAAATACATTCATACACCAATAGCAATACCAATACCCGCCATTCGCTACTAAATGACGGTGATGTCACCATGGCGCCTGTGCCAGGCCAGGTGCACTTTGAGACCACGTGAAGTGTCGAAGGCTCACTGACAGGAGGTCTCTGAACAGACCCAGGTGCCGTCAAACCGGAGCCGGTCATAAGCACACGGCCCAGATATGGGAAACTCTCCACTCTCTCCACAACTGCTCCATCACCAATGGGGAGCTGAGGGGGTGGAGTGTTTGGTGCCAATAAATACCCAGGCATGTGCTTAGTTTTGGTGGGGCTGATGCTAAGATCCCACCTCTTAGTGGGACACTCCAGGTTCAGCAGCAGCGCTTCCAACTCCTCTGAGTGAGCAGCTTATCAGCATACGTAACATGGCTGACCAATAGGGAGGCATCCTTCGACCGCACTCCGGCATCGATCAGCCTCCCGTTGTATCTGTACCAGATGGAAATTCCTCTGGTATAACCATGGAAAGCTTCTCGAACTACGTGGGAAAAGATGTTAAATAATGTGGGAGCCAGAGGACATCCCTGTCGCACCCCTAGGTGAAAAGGGAATGGCTCCGACTCCCAGCCACGTAGTTTTACCCGGGCCTGCCCACCATCATGAAGGTCCTTAATGATTGTGAGCAGAGAGTCAGAGATTCCGAAAGCACAAAGAACTGCCCACAGCCCTGGCCTGTTGATGGTATCATAGGCCTTGACCAGGTCAACAAAGCAGAGATGTAGGTCTTGTTGGAATTCCCTAGACTTCTGCTGTAGCAGATGGACTGAAAATATGGCATCTGTGCAGGACCGCCCTTTCCTGAAAGCACATTGGGGCTCCGCAAGCCTCTCATCAGCGTGCCTAGCACATACACACACGTGCCTGGCAAGGCGATGTTGAATAATCCTTGCCAGGACCTTTCCTGGCACACTGATACACAGACACACAGACACAAGAACACAGATAATACACACACTAATAATACACAGACACTAATACACAGACACTAATAACACATGGACAAAAATATTACACAGACACTATTAATACACATACAAATAATACAGGATAGTGTAGACACACGCTGTCAGAAAGAAAATTAAAAATCACACCAAACAAACCGTTGAGAAAAACGTTCAAAATAAGACGTCAAACAAAAAACGGTCGAGAAACGCGATATTACCGCACACTAATAAACACCGAGATACATAGAGCACCTACCTTCACACACACACTCTTTCAAACTCAATTACGCACACGCTCACACACAATCTGAATCACGCGGTCACTCATCCGCTCTACCTCATCAGCCGCCATCTTTACACAAAGCC